CATCCTGCCCAGCTCTCTCTGAATGGCAGCACGGCCTTCTGCAGTGTCACCCACTCCTCCCAGCGTTGTACCATCAGCAAACTGGCTGAGGATGCACTGCGTCCCTTCATCACAGCCCTCTGAGCTCTGCCCATATTCCAGTTCTCAGTCCACCTCACTGCTCGCCATCCTTCCCTGCTTCCTTAGCTTCACTATGAGGATGCTGTGGGAGACCATGTCAGATATACTGCAGTCAGTGCTCACAACACCCACTGCTCTCCCCTCACCTACCCAGCTGGTCACAGCATCACAGAAAGCAACTGGCTTCCTTATGTGTGATTTCCCCTCGATGAATCTCTGTTGACTACTCCTGATAATCTTCTTCTCTTCTGTTTTTCTAGTGGTGACATCCAGAGTAACTTTCTCAGGGTGGCAGTGAGGCTGACTGGTTTGGACTTTCCCAGATGCTCCTTCTTGCCCTCCTGGACACTGGAGGGACATTGCCCACCCTCAGGCACCTCTCCTGTTCTCCATGTCCTTTGATAGATGATGTAGAACGGTTTGGTGTTCCCTTCTGCCAGCTCCCACTGCACACATGGGTGCATCCTGTTAGGGCCTGTGGATTTCTGTGCATTGAGTTTGTCTGAATGATCTCTGACGAGATCCACCTCAACCACAGGGAAGTCTTCCATTCCCCAGACTCTCTCTTATCACAGAATTATAGAATCACCAAGGTTGGAAAAGACCCACAGGATCACCCAGTCCAACCATCCACCAATCACCAATAGCTCTCAAATATCTCCAGGGTCTGGGATTCTCGAGGGGCAGCCTTAGCAATAACGACAGAGGTGTTCAGCAACCCCACCCCCTGGTGCTCTGCATGACCATGGCACCCACCTCATTCATCAGCAGCCACACATTTTCCCCAGTCTTCCTTTTGCTATGGGTGTGCTTTACAAAAGCCTTTCTTTGCTGTGACCTCTCTCACCAGATGTAATTCCAAGTGGCCTTAGACCTCCTTGTGCCACCCCTGCATGCCCTGACAGTGCTCCTATATCCCTCCCTTACAGCCAGACCCCTTTCCCACATTCCATAGACTTTCTTCTTCCATTTGATATGCTGGGGCTCTTTATGGAGCAGAAAGATGAGAAGGGTTCTCAAAGGGAGAAGGAACTAAGCACTGCTCAATTACCGTGCCACTAATGCAGCATTTCAGAGAGAAATATAAATTTATTACTGTTAAGCCTCAGAAACCTTTGGCTAGATTTCCCAGGCAGAAGTTTTGTGCACAGCACATGCAGCAAGTAAGCCAGCCCTGTGCTGCTGTGCCATAGCAGGCATATGCAGAAAACAGCATCAAAGGAAAAGCTTTGGGGAAAGACCTTGTAAAAATCTGAATTTAGCACTTGACCTGTGGCACAGAGACATGGAGATAAGGCCATGTAACACACGATGCTGAACGTGGCATCCCTGACTTTGTGGGGTCATGGCTCTGAGGGAAAAGAGTAGGGGGGGGAAAAAAAGATCATGTAAGAGCACTGTGGAAAAGGATTCCCTTTATTTTTCAAATATGCAAACTATCTTTATTAACACTGAAACTCACAGCATGAAAAGAAAGGCCTTGGGAATTAACACAGTCAAACTGCCCGAATGCGACAACAACACTGCAGCAGTGATTTCCAGTTACCACCTTCACCCCTGGGGAGAGCAAAAGATTTCGTGATTCCAGATTTCATGGGCAGATCCAGCTTCTGAAACAACGTGCACATACCATGTAATGGATGTGATCCATGGCCCAATGTGTGAAAATCTGTATTCCATATATTTTCTCTCTTAAATTCCCTTCGAAGGGATGTGTCCTGAGCTCCTCACGGGTGTATGCATTGAGGCAGCTCCCTGTTTCAGCCCAAATATTGCCCACCCAATCATCAGGAATAAATTATTTGCCAAGAGAAGAAACTTGCTGTGTTTCTGCAACTAGAAGCAGCAGTACTACAGTAAAGAAAAGACCGCATGCATTCCCAAATAGCTGATAACTTAAGAAGACAGCTGATAAAATGATTTAATATTTTCAGTTACGCAGTTCTGAAGGCTGAGTTGGTACGAGGTCGGAGTTTGGGCTTGGAAGGAGTACAAACACTTCTGTATGCCTGGCTGAGCACTTGAAAGCTTGCCTCCTTGCAAAGCTGGACAGCATGGGGACTTGAGACCTTGGGATACACACACTGGGAGCAGCCACAGCTCACAATTAGCACAATTAGCACCTTCCAAATAAACCTTGCTTTAGAAGATTCATTACTGTAATGTAAAACAGTTTCTGTTGTTTTAGAAATGGGAACAGTTTTGCAAATCAAACTGGGTGTCAAAATTAAGTATGCAACCTCATAGAGTGAGGGTTCAGTATTGCCCGTCCTTGGATCAGCAGCAGAATAATTGTGTGTGTATATGTGCGTGTGCACGTGCACCCCATTTATATACACACAAACACCTGTATATAGGTATATTTGTGTATATATAAGCAAATTCCTGACAGTACTGTTTGGGTATTGTAAACAAATGGATAATCCTGATCATAAATTGGTCCACAACATAGGTGGACACCATAGCAAAAAAATATTGGCTGAATTCTGAAACTCCCCACAGCAAACTGGCTTGCAAGATTGGAAAAGGAGCCATCTACTCATCTGTGATCATTAATCTTTTGTTGAAGGCAAGAAATCACATGGCAAGGCTTGGAGCATGCTGCTTGGTGGGAACAACTGAGATGATGCCAATGCAATGCAGTATGGAGAGCCCCTTTTGTGATATGCTTACGTATCTGCTAACAGCAACTGAAAACAGGTTAGAGTCCTGCTGAGTTTAGTTAAGTTATCATAAGGATCCTTTCTGATAGCTTTTGGAAACAATCAGAAGGACCCTTTGCAGTACCTCTAAACCAGAAAGCATGTGCATATATTATAAAGCCAGAAGGGACACTCATGATCAACTAGTTTGACTCTCTGCATAACCCATGGGCTTCCCAGAATTAATTCCCATTTGAGCTAGAGTCCAATCCAACCATCTCTCCTTTTCTTCAAATTCATCCCTTGGTTTGCCCTTTATATATATATATACAAGAAGTCTCTTCAGGAGTAGAATTCAATGCTTTCTTGAGAAGTTGGACAAATAATCTGCAAAAAAAAAAAAGAAAAGCAAGATGTGATTTAATAAGGATAAATAGAAATTACTGTATTTAGGTAACAATAATCAACTGCACAAACACAGGCTGGGAAATTACTGGCTAGGCAGCAGTTCTGCTTAAAATGGTGTAGGAATTGTCGTGGATCACCAGTGGGGTGGAGGCAATGCTATCATGCTGCTGTGAAATCACCATGCACTGTTGGATTTCATAAGGTCTGTTGTTTCTGCTGGACACATGGTTGGACTCATGTCAGCTGAGCTGTGTCAGTGCTAAGTCAGAGCTGTCTTAGCTCACTGTAGATGCAAGTTAACACAACCTAAAACTCTTAGGTTAAGATCCAGCCTTTAGATACAGCCATCTCATCAAAGTTCAGGTCTAATCTCACTAGGATACCTCACTGGGAGTTAAGATAAGCTGAGCAGACATGAATTTGTTGCAGCTGTGAGCAGCTCCCCTGAGCAGTGTGCTGTTACCTGCGCTAAGCTGAAGCTAAGGTCTCTATCTCAGTGTGCATGAAATGTTCTTTCCTCTGTGCTAATAGATCTTCAGGTGGATCGTTCTGTCCAGCTGTCCTGAATCCACTTGGAGAAAGGTGTGGAACAGAGAGGGAAAAGTCCAGAGGATGGGACTGTGAGAAATTTCTACCTGAGAGGGCATACTGAAAGAACTGGCTCTGTTTAGTCTAGAAAGCAGAAGAGCAGACATTATAATTGCATTCATGCAAAGAGGAGGAGGAAGATAATGATTTCTTATCCCACTCGCCAAGTCAGGATGAGAAACAACGTTCTTACACTGTGACAAGGAGAGGTTTATGTCAGGGAGGAAAAAATGCACTGGGACGTATAACCTGGAGATCAGCATTGCTCAGAGAGGGCCTGTTGGGATTGTCTGCACTCCTCCTGCCTGGGTTCTGGGGGTCTTTTCCTGTCCAATTTTCCATAAGTCTTATAAAAGACTGATTTTTTTTCCCAATATATACTGAAAACCATAGAAACTTCTCTATTTCTGAGTAGAAACAGCATTACAGCCAAGTTTTTGGGCAGCTGGATTTCAGCTTTTGGATTTTGCTGCCTTTCAGCATTTCAGACACTTCCAGATGATGCACTTCTGTAACTGCGGCTATTCTCCCAGAATTGCTGCCCGAGGAGCTGCTCGGATGTTCAGAACATTCATAATCCTTTACTTGAATGTGGAGAGTAACAAACAGTGCTGCACACCACGTGTTCCAGCCTTCTGCCTGGAGGGTTCAGTTTTGCCTCAAAAATTGGACTCCAAAATCAAAGCTTATAAAAATTAGCAAGAAACAGACCGTCACTTTTCTCTTGCTTTAGCAGCAAATGCTGCAGGCACAGTCCGACCAGCTTTGATAGCATAGTTTAAGCCCTAAGTGTGAGAAAAGCCCAAGGCAGCAGCATTCTCCCTCTGGTACTGTAGCATGGATGAAGGTGATTAACGCAAAGAGAGCACAGGACAGCTCTGTCATTTTGTCCCTGCCTCTGAGCTGAGAAACAGCTGGCACAGAGCAGCCCTGGCATGCAGGCAGCAGCAGCTGCTCAGGGAGGCACGCTGCTCTTAAGCTTTGCAATTCCCCTTCTGCTTTCACTAAGAGGAGAACAGATTTTTAGAAAGAAACAAAGTGAACTGTTTGGCAGAGCTTGGCTGAGTGGAAAACTGGCTCAAAGGCTGGACAGTGGATCCATTCCATTATTTGTTTGCTACTTTCATAATTCGCTGCTTCCATGAATGGAAAGCCATTCTGACCTCTGTGCTACCAACCAGCACAGCCCTGTCCCTACCCTGAGGTCCCATCTTCTTCGAAAGATAGGAAACCTCAATACCAGAAGGATTGCCAGAGGGGTGAGAAGACTTCAGGAGGCATTGGTGGTGTTACTGTGCAAAGCTGGGACTGTACACAAGCAGAACACTGTTTTTTCACAAGCACTGGTCAGTGAAGAGTTGAAGTGGAGCGCTGGTGCCCACCAGAGATCCCAAAGCTGCCAAAATCTTGAAGGGAAGCCACTGACCAAGTGAAGGCTTTGCTACTCTGCATCTGCAGGATTAGCAATAGTCATCATGCCAATATCCTGGTGCCAGTCCGCAGCTGGGGGTGTCACTGACCCACCTTGTCAATTAACTATGCTTCAACTTCAGCTCAGAATGGAGGGAGCTCCTGGTCCAGCTCATCCACTGCGCCTTATTTACTCAGGTCTAGCTCTTGAACTCCAGGAAGAATGACTAAATCAGGCTTTCATGGAACAAAAGTTTCTTTGCCGTTTAATTTTCTCCTCTTTAAAGTCAGCCGGAAAGAGATGGGGGGTAAAAGGGATCAAGGGAGACTGCATGTGGGGGAGGAGAACAGTGTAGATGTTGGAAAGTCTGTCATGTTCTGTCCTCCTCTTTGTCCTCCAAGACTTCTGCTTCAAGTCTTGGCTTTATACAGCATGAGTGTGTGATGCTGCCTGACTTCACAGTGCTGTCTCCCTGCTGGGGTGCCTGAGGCTGTCGCTGTGTGTGCAGACCCGCTGGCAGGGCTGCTCTTTCTCCTCTATCCCAGAATTACCAAGTTCGCATTCCTGCGCATCCAGCTCCTGCCTGGAGAGATGCTCCACAATGCCAGCACCCAGAGAGTCCCCCAGGACGTTGGTGGTTGTTCTAAGGCGGTCTCTGAAAAATTAGAGAGAAAAGTGATATGTAACTTCTCACTATCAGCTAAGGGGATGAAGAACATTTCAAGAAAACCTGGTATGTAAGCCTGAATATTGAAAACCTGTCATCAGTCCAGCAAACCAAAATGTCCTGCAGCATTTACAACAGCAGTAGGACTTTCGTACCTCATTGAAAGCAATCTTTCTGGGTAAGTGCAACAGATAACTCAGTATCTTTGGAGGTGTGACCTTTTCCAGCCAGTTCTGATCTTATGCACCTCTCCCAGAATGAATGGAAGTGTTGGACCAGACTGTTTCCCACTGTTCAGCTGTGGCTGGGAGCAGACTCGGGCTGCTTTGGCTACAAACCAGCAATACACAAGACAGAAGAACAGAGGAAACACTGCCAGTATATCCCTGAGTTAGGATTTTGTTGTTTAAGAAGACAGAACTTTTTTCAATCTTATTCCTGAGGGTGCTCCTGTGAAATCACTTGTCCCAAAGTTGAAAAGGGATAGAAGTGGCAATGTGTGGCTGGTTAGATGCTCAGGTTTGTCCGGCCAGTCCCTTCCATCCCATCCCATCCCATCCCATCCCATCCCATCCCATCCCATCCCATCCCATCATATCCCATCCCATCCCATCATATCCCATCCCATCCCATCCCATCATATCCCATCCCACTGTCCTTGTTTGGTAGCACAGAGCCACCATCACTCAGCAGTGTGAATTTTTGTGTTACTGACACAACCTATCCCTGTAGATCTGGAGATAATTTCCAATAGTTATCTAGTAAGATAAAGCAAACTAAGGACATCTTGCTTGGTCACCAAGCTGATCTGTAAGTGAATTCTGATGCATTGGGTCTCTGAAGTATATGGCGAAGATGAATGAACAGAGAGGGCTTCTGTGCAAAGGCTTCTTGATACATATCATGGAGTCTGCTTGTAGCAGAGACACTGGGAGTGCAGACACAGGGAGCACAGGGCAGGGCGTGCTGCTGAGCAGAGAACTCACAGGAACCAGTCCACAGCGATGATCAGCGTAATGTCTTCAGTTGGCAGCCCCACCGACGTCAGCACTATAACCATGGTCACCAGCCCTGCCTGGGGAATGCCTGCAGCACCAATGCTGGCTGCCGTGGCGGTGATGCTGGAGGGAAAGCAAAGCACATCTCTCAGCAGAAGGAAGAATACAGGCAGTCATGTTTGCAGAAGCATCAGGAAGAGTCTCAGCACACTGTCTACAAACCATCTTGGCAGCCTTTCTGCCCTGGTCACAGAGAAGGAAGGTGACATGTGGGGCGTCAGACTGAACCCAGCATGTCCTGCCAGCACCATCCATAGCAGAGTGCACACAGCAGCTCTGCCCAAGGGTTGGCCCCAACTTGGGAATGCAGTAAGGTCTCAAGGGGGTCTTGAAGACATGGCATTCAAGCCCTATTAGCTTCCATTCCTGGAAGTTTCCCCTTCCTTTTCCATACTTCTGAATGAAAAAGGAACCTGAAAACTTCTCAGGCAAGCCAACAAAACAGGCTTACCCAAGGGCTGGCTATGGGATCCCTCCCAAAACCCCCTAGCCCTTTCAAAAGTCACCTTATTGTGATGATCTGCCCAAAGTCGAGCTCGTAGTTGTTGACTTGTGCAATGAAGATGGCAGCGAGGGCCTCGTACAGAGCGGTGCCATCCATGTTAATGGTAGCTCCCACGGGCAGAACAAACCTCGTGATGCGCCTGTCCACGCCGTTGTTTTCTTCCAGGCACCTGAAGGTGATGGGCAGAGTCGCTGAGCTAAAAGGAATTTAGAAAACACCACAAATCAGGTATGTGCTGGCTGTGCCAGGGGGACCAAACTGCTGCCTGGGTTGTCACCTTACCCACCTGTTTCTCACCCTGCCATGTGAGCCAGAGGCCAGATGCTGCTAGGAGAAAGAACAGTCTAAGCAAGGGTTCCTCAGTATGGTGCACGCTGCATTGCCCGTTCAGACACAGCTTTCCTCAGGGGGATGGGCAGGGGCTGTGTGGTGCTGGTGGTGCTGGTGTAACACCAAAAGAAGAGGATTTGGGGGATTCTGGGTGCACAGAATGGAGCCTCAAGTCCAAAACTTCTTTTCCAGCTCTTAAAAAAATCATGTCCTTTCCCCTCCCCAACTTAGTACATAAGAAAAGAATACATGAGTGTATCTTTTGTGTTTCAGTGTGAAAATGCATGTAGGAGAAACTGATACAACAGCACCCCACAATCCATTGCTTTGGTTGTGTGAGTGACTGAGGACACTCCTGGCAGTTTGACACCAGCTGCATACAACGCGTGTGCCTGGAAAAAAGAAGTGTGCAAATGCATGTGAGCATATATATGTGGAGGTGCGTGCACGGGAAATAATGCTGGGATTCTGTGGGGTTTGATTTGTGTCCTGAGCTGAGTGTTTCAGGGCTGCAAGCACAGTCACCACCGTGTTTGTGAGGACTGCGGGTTGTGAGCTGATGGGTAGAGAGGAGCACACGATAAGGTCTCCCGGGCAGGGAACTGGGAATCTTTCTGCTCTGAAATGAGTTGTCTGGACCAATGCAAAATGCTGTTAGTGCCTGAAATGGTGAGACCTGAGTGCTGCACTGAGGGCAACCAAAGCACTGAGCAGCAGCCCTGCAATATCCACACCATCTCCAACCTCACTTCTCCCCGAGGCGATGTAGCCACAGTACCTTGAGGAGGTGCCCAGGGCTGTGATGAGGGCCTGCAGAAGCCCTGCAATGAATACCCAGGGGTTCCTGTGGGTGACGATGAAGTAGAGCAGTGGCAGGATGCAGAGGGCATGAATGAGGAGCCCGACGATGACAGTGAGGGTGTACATCCCCAGCTGGCCCCCCATCACTGCCAGGTCATCCATCTCCAGGATTTTGCCAGCAATTAGAAACATGATCCCAACTGGGGCGTACCTGTGGATGAAACACATGGACAGTGCTCAGAACTGATATCCCCACAGCCATACCTGCTTCAATGCATGCTTTCTTGGCACATCTTCTGTAAGCCAGCACACCAGGAGCGTGTTGGTTGGTGGACTGTACTGTTGGTTTCTTTTCTGGCAATGTGGAGAGATCTCAGTCAAAAACCAGCTGAGTGCACAGCTTGGGCACTGGTAGAGGTTTCTTCCTCCTTCCAGGTTCCTATCTCTCTCCTCAACATTGCTCGTGGCATTGCTGGGGGGTTATAAGAAGCCCTCATGGTCCCTTCCTTTCCTAACAGAGCTTGGGCTGTGGGGATCTTTTTCACTGAGAGACACAGTTACGGAAGTAAGAAGGAAATGGGAGTAAAAGCAAGTGTCCTGTGTGCCTAGCAATATGCCTTGTTATCTTTAGAGGTTCTCGTGCAGGGAAGAGGAACATACAGAGCACCCACAGCTGGTGTGCTGAGGACTGGCACAACAATCTGTGAAGGCAGCCGTGGTTTATGTGCAACCTCTTTTTGAGGCATGCTGCTACCCTTCCCATTTCTTCTAGCTTTTTCCCCCAGCAGTGCATCTCATGAGCAGCAGAGGCTCCGTGGGAAGGAAGCCATAACACAGGCAAGGGAATTATCATGGGCACTGAACTAAACATGAACAAATGATTGGACTGAAGGAAATCCCAGCTCCGTGGCCACCCCTCTCAGGGCTTGGCCTCTACAGCTCAGGAGCTCACATGCAACTCATGCACAAAGCTCAGAGGTCCACATGCCAAACTCCAACTTAGCCTGGAAGGTTTGGAAAAGTTTCAGGAAAGGATTTCACAAATATTTCATTTCCTCTGACCTTTTTCTTGGAAGACATTCTTGGATGCAGGTAGTGACCAGATCTCCCCAGGACAAAGCAGCTCCTGGGAGATGCTCTGCAGGCTGTGGCTCCAATAAGGTGCGCTGGGGACACAGTCCTGCCTCCTGCACCAATGTTTTGGTGAGGCAAGGGATGTCTTCAAACATTAGCTAATATATTTCCACAGGCCATTTCCTAAGCATAACCAGCATCCAACCCATCAGCATTCTGCCTTTTGAGGCAGTTGAAGCAGCGTCAAATGGCCTCTGAGAATAAAGAGTGTGCAGGTCCTCTTCTTCCACTCTGCTCTCCTTTCCCTTGAGCAACTCTTATCTCCCCTTAGGAAAGCAAGGCTCCAGATTCTGGCTCATCCATGGAGGAAAAGATGCCAGAGGGGCTGGGGCTCCCAGGCAGTGCATGGCTCTGCTGTGAGCTTAAGGTTGCTTTTGCCCTCTATCTCTGTCTGTGTAAGGCCATCTCCTGTGCCTAGGATGTTTCTCTGCAATACCAGACTGCCACTGGGACACCAGGGAAAGAAAGCTGGAGTGATTGAGAATGGGGGAGAAGACGTGGAGCTGACAGATCCTTCCTTGTCAGGCATTTCCACATGTTCTGCCAGTCCAATATCTCTCCAACAAGCTCCCATTCAGAGCTTGAGCCACAGACAGGTAAGGAGCTTAACATAACAAGATTTGGTAAAATCCTGCTTACTAAGAAGACTTTTTGCAGCAATGCCTTCCTTGTCTGGACCATGTAGTGCAGGCATAAGAAGCAACAAGAAGCTGAGATCTGGAGGAGGTGGGATCTGGGAGACCTCCAGCTGAAAGGCAGTAACTTGGAGTTGATCCTGTCAACCCAGTTCAGCTTTCAGAGCTCAGGCATGGGAGTGCTGCCCTGAGGGGCAGGAAACTGGCAGAAGTGACTGTGATTCAGCTAGCTCAGGCTCCTGGAACACAGCTGGAAGGAAAGCTTTCTGTGGGAAAGCCTCACGCCCTACCCCTGCTGGTAAGGCTAAGAGATCTTCCACTTCAGCTTTCTGGTCTTCCAAGGATGTTTCCAGCAGCCTCGGGGAAAGCAAGTCCTGGTGTACCTGATATTTCTACAGTAAAAACAAAACAAACAAACAAAGAGCAACAGGAAATGAAATGTGAACAAATATCCCATCCAGACTTTTCCCTCCAGCCTGATGGAGCCAAAGGAGAGCTGTGCCCATCTACTTTTCCTACGCATGTCATCCTTAAAGCTACTCCATTTCTCATCAGGTCAGCGGAAACTGCACCTGCAGACCTCCTGCTCCAACCGGCCGTGCTCCTCACCAGATGATAATGGCCACCAGCCTCATGATGGCTTCGTTGAGGCAGTTAAAGAACTCCCGCAGGGCCCGTCCCTTCTGCTTCATGCTGCCGATCACCAAACCGAAGCACATGGAGAACACTACCAGCCCCAGTGCGTTCACCCCATTGGCTGAGCCCGGGATGGGAATGACTTCTTCAAAGGTCAGCACCTCGGAGATGGTCCCCAGGGCATGTGTGACATTCTCCAGGATGCCGGTGGAGTTCTCAGGCGCAGGGAGCTGAGTGGTTGCCACGCTTGCTGTGAGATTGCTGCTGTGGAGGACGGTTCTGGTGAAGACTCTGGTGCTGTACTGCGTCTTGTACTGAAACGACAGAGATTGTCAGATGCACTCCCCGGCCCTCGCTCAGGAGCTCAGGACAACATGCCAGGCTGCTGTATCCCTGCCCGAAGAACAGAGAGAACTGCAAGTTCTCACCGCCCTCAGTGGGACACTCGCCACGCACGTTCTCAAACTCCCAGTTTTAATGCTTTGGCTGAAAAGTTCACAGAGCCTAAGGTCAAAAGAGAGCACTGGAGCACCTAGAGAACTTCATCTAGATGCCATCTACTGACTCATGTATGACCAAAACATCCCCCCCTTTTTTTTTTAATCTCAATTTTAAAAGACAGAATTCCATTCTGCCCGAGGTAGTTTGTTTCAATGTTGAAATCTGCATCAAATTCTCCATTTGAACTCTTGTTCTCATTTTAAGTCACTTACTTTTAAGTCTCTATCTATTCTTTGGTCTTAAGACAGGACTGTTCTCTCCTTTGGATGTGTCTATAATCTTGCAAGTCAGGTGCTCTTTACTTGATGGGCTAAACAGACAGATCCCCCAAAGTTGTTCACTTGCATCTAATCCTTTACCAGTTCTTTGCACTGCAGTTACCTCCTATATCTTCTAATCTTTACAACTCTAAAAAGGAGATTATTTAATCCACATGCAACATTTCTCTTTGCAGTGAGAGATACCAACATGAAATGAACAACTTCTTTCTTTGGTAATCCAGGACTGACACAGGACCATTTAACTGCAGGATAAAGGCTCATGGTCACTTGCTTGGGGGATGCTACAATACAGACTGACTACAGTGCCTCCTTGAGTGCTGGAATATATTCTACTGCACAGTGCACAAAGGCAGTCCATAGGTCGGGTGGGATCTCATACCTGTTTGAAGCAGGCTTCCACCAGGTTGGGTGGGAACATGTTCCTGCAGATAAAACAAGAAAAGAGTTATTGTCCTGTCTGACTTCCCAGCAAATGTGGGCTTCATGGCCAAGGCCTCTGTCTGAGAGCAGTATTGTTTCTCTCAACAGCCACAATGCCAGCCTATGGAGCAGATTGGCTCTTTCTGTCTGGCTGAAGATCTGGAGCTGATCTGGATCTAGATGATCTTTCTGCACATGAATACAAAATTCTAAGAAGTCAAAGCAGGGTGAGCAATGAAGTTACTTGCAGGTATGCCTCAGAAACGATCCTTTCCATCTTTCTGGCTTATTAAGCACAAATCACAGATTGCAGGAGCAGTTGGAAGGGCCCTCAGGAGGTTCACCTTGAATCATTGCAAACACTACATTTGGCTCTGGCTCTGTCTAGCCAAGCCTTGAAAACTCCCAAGGACAGAGATCTGCCACATCTGTGCCAAGCTGCCCTACGGCTGCACCATAGTCCTGGGCAAAAAGATACTCTAATGTACCACTGTCCCCCCAAAGCCAATATTCCTGGTTTGCACATTTTGTCAAGATTTCTGCCATTTCAGAGAGGAGTTTGGCTCTGTCATCTTTATAGCTGTTTGCTGCTATTAGATCGTCCCTTGGCTGGTCAGCTCTCTCAGCCTATCCTCACAAAGCATGAAGCTCAATCTGAATGGTTTCTTTCTTGACTCCATCCTATCATTCTCAGCTGAACCAAGAGCATCCAGCAGCCAGCCTCATTTCTCCTGGGTGTCTTCTGACTGGTTTCCCATTCTGCAAAGTCAGTGCTTAGACATCATGACCAGTCACTTGGCTCCTGGATGGTGGCACTGGCTGGAGATTTTCACTGGGACATGGGTTCATTGCAAAAGCATCATCAGAACTCACTGAATCTTGAAGAAGTACCATATTGCCATGTTCTCAGCCTCATCTCTACAGCACTCATTTGATCTCTGTTATCCTGTGCCTCAGAAATGAAGCTTCATGCCATAGTTGGCTGCGGAAGGTCATGACAATGGGGGGTCAGACAATATATTGGGTATCATTTCTTCAATTTGCTGGATACTTGGGGTGGTCTTTGCTACGTGGATCTCTGAACTGCATATGGTCATTGCTAATCCTGCTTCCCATGTTTCCCTTACGACTATTTTTCAATCTGACTGTTCTGACTGTTTTCCAATCCTTTCCGATTATTTTGTGCAAATACTGTACTGTGAGGTGCTCCTTTTCTTCCCAAACAGGAGAGGCTCTTAAGTAAAATGAGCAAGAAATGAAACAATGTTAGACATAACACATCTCATGAATTCCAATGGAGAAGTGAAACTGGATCTTGTGCACTCGTCAGGTCTCAGTCCCATCTCTCAGTCTGATAGCCTTTGGATTAAACTGATCTTGTCAAAGCAACACATTGACTCCTAACTGAAGGGCAGGACTCCAGGGCTGCAGACCAAGCATTGTATCTCAGAGTGACAAAGCTGGGTAACCACCTTGCAGTCCTCCAAGCCTGGCTTCAAATGTAGTCAAACCAAGAAGTGTTGGCCCAACCTCACTCTTAAATACTGATTTTGATCACCATTATTCTACGTCATAGAAATCACTGAAAAATGACTGCTGGTGGCCTCATTCAATGCTAGATTTCTTCAGGCTGCTCAGCAGAGCTTTGAGTTTCTTCAAGGACAGAGACTCCTCCATCTCCTTGGCTCCCAGTACCCAGCCTACGCTACCTGTGGGGAACAGTTTATTCCCTCTGCTCTATCAGAATTTTGCTTGTTCCAGCTCACTCTTGGCCTTTCCCTGTGTACCTCTCAGAAAAATCTGGTTCCATATTCTCTTCAACTCCCCTCCAGGCAGCAGAAGACTGCAAATAGATCACCCCAATTTTTCCCAGGCTAAAAAATGCCCATTCCCTCAAGCATGGGACAAAAGCTGCAGCTCTGCAGGAAGCTGAGAGGCCCCCCTGACTGAGCTAAAAGTAGCACGTTGAGAAAGATTCAGCAAAGACCTCTTTTCCTGACTATATACCTAAAGCTGTGGCATTTCAAAGGGATGTTCAGTGGAGGAGTCTGCTCTCACTGATATGGACTGACATGTGGCTAACTGGTCCACGTACCTCACCAAGTCCATGAAGGCATCTGTGGTCTGCACCTGCTCAATTCTGCCTTCTCGGTGAAGCTTGTCCTTAGATCCTTTCCCTGGGTGGATGATGATCACCATGAGGATGCCAATGAAGACTGCTATGATTGTGGTCACCATGTAGTAGACCACAGCTCGCATACCCATCTTCCCTGAGGCTCTGCCATCCAGGGAGGCCATTCCTGGGGAGTCAGGCAGACAGACAAGGTAAGCAAGTCTGTTATCTTAGAGGAAGTTTCAAAGCATGCAGGGGACAGGGATGGGGAGTTGGGTCTCTAGGAAGTGCAAGGGGCAGACTTTGGAGCTCCAGGGTGATGTGGATACAGGAGGAAGTTGCTTAAGCTTATGAAAATGTAGAACATTTATAAATTTAAGCTGAATTTGGGAATATAGCAACTTCCTCCTAAAGCTCTCAGAAGGGAAATAATGCTGCCCCAGGACAATGGGACTTTAATTCCCTACTGGTGGGATGTTTCACAGAATGAATTGCATTGCAGCCCCTTCTGCCCTCTGAAGGGTCGGCTGGCTGGGCTGTCTTCTACCAGGACCTGGATGAGGCAGGTGCTCCAGCTGAGAATCAACTCTGAATCTTGGATTGGCACAAATTAACCTCATTTAGGCTAGTGGAGATCTGAATCACACTTGGACAACAAACTTTGACATCCAAGGTTAATCTGAATGAAATCACAGAATCATAGTTAAAGTTAGGGTTGGAAGTCATTTTGTCCAACCCCCCTGCACAAGTAGGGATACCTGGAACAGGTAAACCCTTCTTAGTGCTCAACTGTTGGGCATTGGAAGACTACACTGTGCCCTCCCCAGCCTTCTGAGAAAGCACAAAGACTTCTGCTTCTCTTCACCACTGTTGAACCAGCAGGGGTATGAGTGTAAACCACGGTCACTACAGCTGAAGGTTCAGGCTTGTCATTATTAGCCCTGTTTATCTGAGCACCTGCAGGCAGGGCACAAAGGGGAACTCCAGCAACAGCCAGCATCAGATTTTGCTGAGTATTGCCTTGGCTGAAAGCACCAGAAAGCTCTTCTCACCTGTAATCAAGCTAGAGACAATGAGGGGAAGAACCAGCATCTGGAGCATGCGCATCAGCAGCTCTCCTGGGAAGGAGAAGTACTTGATCTGGCGGTAGGTCAGCTGGTAGGGCCGGAGGGAAAAGGCCAGGATGATCCCTGTGGGTCAACAAAGGATGAAAATGGACAGGGGTCACAGTGAGCCGGTGACCTGCCCTCACTCCATCCTACAGCGTGGCTTCCCTCTTCCTCTTCTCCCTTCTGCACCTCCCCTCCCCAGAGGAGTGTAATGCTCTTTCTTTTCGGTAATGCTGCGCTCCAGTTTTCTCTGCCTGCTCTCACCTCTGTGTATGTACATGCATGGCAGCCTTGTGCTGAACCACCACCTCCTGCTGCTGCGCTGGGCTGTTCCCTGCAAGACCACTGCCACCAAAGTGCTCACTCTTACGAGAGCAGCAACAGACACAGGGCCCCTTCAGCTCATCTCCCCCGGCCAAACCATTACAATAAAACAAAACCATTACGGGATAAACAGACTTTCCCCCACGCTTACGCCCAGTGCCCAACGCTGCCCCATACCGAGCAAGACCGCGGCGATGGTGAAGAGGACAAAGGCGTTTCTGCGGAAGAAGCTCTTGGCGCTGTCAGCAGTGATGCTGCTCATCCTCTTCTTGGCCCGCGCCGCCCGCTTCTGCACAGCCTGCCGCAGGCGCTGCACCCGGCCCTCGGCGTGGAGCCGTTTGGCTGCGTCCTCGTTGAGGAACAGGCTGTTGACGTGGCTCTGCTCGCTCATGGTTGGACCCTGCACGCTGCTCTGCCTGCGCTGGCCGGGGAGGAGCACAGGAGGGAAAGGAGCTGAAAATGACTCTTGTTCCCAAGGGTTTGCGAAGAAAATATAAGACTGGATGGATACGGGAACCCAAGGGGCACTTCAGCACTTCAGCAGCTGCTGAGAGGCCTTTCTTCAGTGGAGCAATGCAAATGACAGCCTCTCCATTTGCAATCCTGAATATAAGTCAAAGAAACCCCCAGGCACTGAGATCCTATTCCTCATGAAGTGCACACCACCTCTGGTTTGGACCAAACAAATACCTACCATGAAATCAAGGCATTAAACCAATGCTTCATGGTACAGCTTGATTTATTTGGACTTCTTTTTTATTTTATTTTAATGATTAAATAGATGTTTCCATCTTTATCTGAGTTGCTACTGAGAAGTAGATTTTTAAATATACTTAAGAATTGAGAGATGCAGGAGATGCATCGATGCTTCTAAAAGTCCCTCCAGATGTCCCTTTGCTTCCCTAAAATCCAGCCACCTCTAGAAAGAAGGCTTTAAGCATCCAGCCTCCGGCCACACAAGAATGTTTGCGACTTCATGGCACACTAAGAAATGGTCCCTGTGCCCCAGAAGGGCTTTCACACATCTCGTGTCCTCCTGTCCGACCTCACCAGCATCACCTCTCACACTTCACCCCTTGCTGTCACAAACTCACTGAACAATTCCTTCCCTGAGCCAAAGAGGATCAAATGTATCTGCAGGATTTCCAGCAGCCTGTCCCAGAGCTTCCTGCCCTCATGGTGAGAAACGTGTCTGCTGGAGGGATGCAGTCTGACTTCCTGCAAACAAACTCCTGCAAAGTGAATTAACAAATAACGGGTAGATCCTTTGAGGCTTTCTTGCTCCCAAACTGCTCACTGCTCACCAAGCACCCTGCACGCCTCAGGAAGGCAAAGGGCACTTGGTATGCACTGCTTCCATTTCTCAGTGAATGGAATCTGCTGTACCACTACGGCTTGCTTGATGCAAAACAGGCTTCCCATCTGCCACAGCAACCTGAGGAGACCCGCACTGATCGAGGAGAATGCAGACTGAGCTCTCCTCCAGACCTCGCCTTCCTTAGACCACATCACAGCAATGAGAAGGGTTCCCAAACAGGGAAGGTGGGAGCAGCACCCACCCTGCAGAGGGACTCACCTGCTTTGTTCTCCAGATGTCTCCCTATCCACACGTACCAGGAAAAAAGTATTTTCATGTAAAGAAAACAAAATTTCTATTTTGATGCAGGAAAGTTCAGGATGAATCACTAGGATGCCATGCTCCACCATATGCTCAGCAGCCTTCTCAGAGCAATGCTCATCGCACAAAAGGAGCACCCGCTCTGTGATGTCCCCACCCTCTTGCTGTCTAGCTGCCTTTCTCCATCTGTACATTTTGCAATCCAGCAGCCCTCTCTACAGCACATTCCCACTGCATCGCCAGCCTGAAATTGTGTAAATATTCTCTATTGCATCAGCTGGAAGTCCTCCAGCTGCTGCAGTAAGTCGTCAAAACACACTTCTTGCAGATAAGCAGTCTGCAATGGGATGGATTTTCCTTCCCGGAAGGAAAAAGGTAGCTTTGCTTTCTTGGTGAAGGCTTTCCTAATCATGACTGCTTCTTCAGCCTCTGCTCTGCCAGAACTGAGATATTCAAGAGAGCAGTTGTGGAGGTAACTTCAAGGCTAGATGAGGGAGCACAGGATATTTTGTAAGAAACCCCAGTGTTGCAAAACTAATGCCTGGTTCCTGGCAATGAGGTTTGTCTTAACCAGTGGAATGTTGACCATTTTAAGGCCAGCAGTCAGAAGATGGTGAAAGTAAAAAAATAGGGAAGGAAGACATTTATCATTTTGTTCAAAGAACAAAGCTGCTATCCACATAGTCAACACAGGTTCATCAAGGGAATGTCCTGCCTTAGTGATCTGATCTTCTGGGGTAAGGTCACGGTGCATGAAGGGAAGGTGATGGATGTGACCATTCTGGGTTTCAGTAGGGTTTTTGGTGCCATCCCTCACAGCATCCTTCTGGACAAATTGTCCAGCTGTGAGTTGGACAGTTCACACTATGCTGGGTGATGAACTGGAGCAATGGTAGAGCTCCAGCGGTCATAGTGCATGGGGTTACATCATGCTGGCAGACGGTCAACAGTGATGTTTTCCAGGGCTCCGTTCTGCATTCACCATTTCTATCAATTATCTGGATGCAGGAGGGGAGTGCATGCTATGCAGTTTTTCCCATTATACTAAACTCGGAGGTGTAGGGACAAGAAGCCTTGGATATATTGGAGCACAGAGAGATTAGCAATGACTTGACAATCAACAAAGGAAATGGTTGGGTTCTGCACTTGGGATGAGTAATGCCAGACATGGGTACAGGCTGGGAGACGAGTAACTTCTGCAGCTCAGCAGAAGGGGGTCTGGAGGTGCTGGTGATACACACTCAACTCAGTGGGCCTGGGCAGCCAAGGGCAAACCACATTCTGGGGTGCATTGAACTGGATGGACTCAAAAAGCCACAGTGAATGGAGTTCAATCCAGTTGTCGGTTGGACACCAGCAGCGTTCCTCAGTGCTCTGCACTAGGGATGGTTTCTTAAAATACTTTTATTTTATTACTGAGAGGAGGTTGCAGCAAGGAGGACATCAGTCTTTTCTTGGATAACAAGAGATAGGATATGAGAAAAAAGCCTGAAGTTGCACCAGGGGAGGTTTAGGGTGGACATTAGGAAGATTTACTTAATGGAGAAGGTGGTCAGGTGTTGGAACAGCCTGCGCAGGTAAGTGGTGGAGTCCTCCTCCTTGGAGGTATTGAAGAGATGTGTGCACGTGGCACTAAGGGACAAAGGCACTAACTCACACTTTTCTGGGGAGAACAGCACAAATGAGAAATCCTCTGAAGTGCCTCTGCATGAATGGACGCAGCACTGCAGGATGAAGAGTAGAAGTAGAGATCCATGTAAGGCGATAGGGCTGCACTCTTGCTGGGCTCACAGGGATGTGGTGGAGAGGTGGGGAGCTGGAATTCAGGATCCCTGTGCAGATGGAACAAGGCAACTAACAGCACAGTGTGTGTCGACGGACCAGACCCTGATCAGTGCTCAGTGATCGGAAGAGATGCGATGGACACAAATTGAAATACAAGAATTCGTGTATAAGGAAACATTTCACTGTAAGAGTGGTTGAGCACTGAGCAGGCTGCCCAGAGAGGTTGTGAGGTCTCTGTCCTTGGAGATGTTCAAAAACTGACAGGACATGTCCTGAACAATGGTCCTGAGCAACCAGTTCTGGTTGACACTGCTTTGAGCAGGGATGCTTGCAAGATGATCTCCAGAGGTCCATGCCAACCTCAGCCATTCTGCGGTCCCTCCATCTCATAATCATCAACTCATAGAATCATTAAGGTTGGGAATGACCACTAAGATCCTCTAGTCCCCATCTTCACCATGCCCACTAAACCATGTCACTCATGCCACATCTACCCTTTCTTTGAGCTCCTCCAGGGGCAGTGGCACACTGTGTGACAAGGCTCAGCAGGACTGTCCCAGCAGTGTCCTGGAGCAGGTCTATATGCATAATTGGCACAGAACTAGACCTGGTTCCCCACTCCTCTTCTCTCACCCTCTAAACCCTGCTCAGCACTCGTACACCAGTCTGAAACATAAACCAGAAAATGCTGCTTCATTGAAATGACCGAGTGGGGACCCCAGAGGTGTCTCAGCAGGAATGGGTGCTATCAGTTTAGTGGGTCCTCTGTGAGATGCTCCTCCAGGACAAGCAAGCTTTTGACCACCACTGGGATGTGGCACTGTAGGCCACTCCTGCCATGGTGACTGGGTTGGGGATGGTAAAAGCAAAGCTGAAGTTCTGTCATCTTGGGACAAATGGGCAGGAGAGAATGATCCAAACATTGATACTCACATTGTTGTCCCCCTGCTGCTAACGGTGATGTAGAATAATATAGAAGGGTTAATCTAATTAGCCAGTTTTACTCCCGGGACTGGCAGAAGTCAGCCAAATTAGAACTGCCCACAGTAAAGTTCTCTCTCAAGTTTTTTGGCCTCCAGGGGCCTGGGAAGAGGGGCAGCGCATTCCCAGAGCAGCGCAGTTCGACACGGTGCACGCTGCTGCACTGCTGCTTGGGGCACGCTCAGGAAACCTTGCTGTAAAGAGGTGGCACTGGAAAAGCAGAGTCAGTGCCCTGCTCAACACAGGCTGCCCTGGGCTCCCTCTTCCCTCTGCTATCACAACTCTTTTCTTTCTATTTCATTACTGAAAACCAGCCAGAAACCGTGAAATAATCAGCACTTTGGAGCCCGCTGTTTCTCTCGTCTCCAAGGAAACTCTGCTATCGTGTTTAATGCCAACAGCAGTAGGATTTTCAGGAAGTCTCCCTGGGGAGTAGCAGGGAAGCACACCGACAGGGAGAGGAAGGAAGGGGAATCTCTGCAGAAGGAGAGGGGCTGGGAAGGGGTTAGGCACAAGAACTAGCACTTCACAGGGGCTGCCTGGTGCCCCCTCCTGTCCCATTCCCCCTGCTGTCAGCAGCACTGAATCCAGCCTCTGTGCCGTTACTGTTTTTTGCCCCCAGTGCTGAGTGGGACAGGACAGAGATGACTCATGGACCATGGGCTGGAGTCACCCTCATCCCTACACCAGTTGGAGCCTTAGCAGCCCAGCCCCTTGCTTGTCCTTAGAAGGGCAGCACACGCTGAAGGCAATGACACCAAAGTGCCTACGCTGAAGGTTTCCATTCGCCAGCACAATTGGGGTGGGCTCAGCTATTGCTGAGTTGCTATAGCAGCCCCTGGCAAGGCTTTGCACTCGGGAAGCGCTGGGGTTTGCCCGTGTTCATCTCCCAGATCCTTGCCAGCCAACCCATCCCTCTGCAACAGGCGCTGCAGGAGAGCAGATCTGCCCGGGCCCAGCCATGGGTGCCCAGCTGTCAGTGTGAGGGGACCAAAGGGGATGTGCATGGGGCAGGAATTCCATCCCCGCTGAGCACAGTGACAGTGGTGATCAATTGCAGTTTGGGGCCCTAAATCCAATCTTGGGAGGACAAGTGCTTTTCTTCCTATAGCCCTCAATCATACCAATGTCCCGTGACAACGCTGGCTGTCTTCACCTGCCCACCGTTACAGCACCCTGTCCCAAACACAGCCCCACTTCTAGAGCATTCCCATGTGGGCAGTATCCTCTACTAACGTGGGACAAGAGCTGTCGCTGTTGCCCCCCACACCTGTGCCCAAGGCAGCCTCCATGCACCCTCCTGCCCCTGTCCCATCACCGGACTGGGCATCGCTCTGATTCATGCATTCAGATTTCCCAACAAAACTGCTCACCTGGAACAAGTGTCAGTGATCAGGCAGAAGGACGGTGGGTCTTTTCCTCCTCGGGGGATTATTCTGAGTTGTTTTGTTCCTTGATTCTCGAAGCTCAAAGGCAGGGTGTAGGATTTTCTCCTTTGAAAGGTACAGCGTTAGCAGAGAGCTCTGAGCAATGCCTCCTGAGAGAGGAAAGGAAGACTGTAATATGCTCAGGATACATGGCAGTAGGGGTGGGGGAGTGGCATGGAGGAGGAGACTGAAGAAATCTTCGATGATTGCAGGAGACCAGAGGACAGAAGCACCTGTCAGTGTGATGTTGCACACAGTCCGTGCTGGGTTGAACACTATCACTGCACTTTCTTCTCCCTCCTCACACAAGAAAGTTAGCGGTAATGGAGAGCAGGGCAAGCTGTTCACCATGAACCAGCTCTCATCCCCATCCCCATCCCCTGCTGCCTGGGTGGGGTGGCTGTGTACAGGAACAGCAGGACCTGCATCTCTCTGAGCAGGCAGATCCTTCCCAGCCCCGTCCGTGTGAGCAGGACCTCTGAGATCCAGACAAACCGACGTGGTTTGTCCACAGCAGCCCAAGGGGATGGACATGTGCCTGTGCCTCAGCCAAATAGCTGCAGTTTCCCAGTGGTGGGTTAGGCAAGTCCCAAGGCAGAGCACATTCACTGAGTGTGCAAAGGAAATGTGTTAGCAACACGGTCTGTCAGGGAGCCAAACTCTGCTTTCAAGGAAGGAGGCACTGCCTTTGTTCACTGATCTGTGAAATGTCCGTTCCTGCTGTGCTTCCTTTCAGTAGCAGCCCTGCATCTCAATATTTACATTAACACCCAGGTCAGGTTGTAAGCATCACGCAGCCAGCTGGGGCAGAGTGAAAAAATTAGTTCCCAAATACGAGCCCCAGTGCCAAGGTTACAGCAGCACCTCTGTTCCTATTCCTACCAGACACACAGGTCACAGGGAGATGGTACACCCCCCTGTTCCAGCTGACCCCAGAGCAGGGGCTTTGCTGCGTACCCAGCTCCAGTGCAGAGCAGCAGCAATGCACTGCGTCTGGCTGCAAGCCAGAATTTGCTCCATAGCACGATTCCCCACCAAGGGGCAGATCAAAT